GTGGATTGCTGTAATGTTATGTCATTTATATATATGTGCATGTGTATAGATATAAAATAGTATATAATAGTGTATATAGTTGCTGGAAAATTGTGCAATCCAGAAGGCTGAGATCACTCTTATCTCCTCTGAATGATGCTGCTAAAACATGAAAACCAACGCCTGTTCTCTGGGGCTTTACTTCCCTCTTGGCTAACACGAGGCTTGCTGGGAGGTGGAGAAAAATTTGGCATGATCTCCTTGCCAAAGAAGAACTCAGGTGCAGCAGGGGCATGTGGGATGGGTAGAAAGTGGTGTGTACTTTACAGCAACTATTAATAATCAACTCCTTTAAACTGATAGGATCGTCATCGAAATAACTGGCAGCGTGCAGGAATGTTTTAGTCATTTAGAAAATGCCGAAAATCCCACTGGCTTTCCCCCAGTGCTTGTGGTTAGATTATGTGTAAGGTTTTTGACATTATTTTCCTAGAAGAGAGAGAGATTACATAAGAGGGCTGGCAGCCTATAAAAATGTCCTCACTCAGCATGGGGAGGATCCAGGTTAGACTTCTTCGAAGGCAGCTGAAGCCTACATCTGCAGAGAAAAAATTTAGATCTGCGGAGAAATGACTTCTCTGGGAGACAGCTGCTAAGATCACCTTGCATAGAAATGTTTCTAACCTTTTTTTTCTGACAGTATTCCCAGTTGGACAGAAAGCATCTGAATCTGCTTAGATTATGCGGAAAATGAATTATTCCTGGGGATTCTTTGCAGGAAGAGGCATCAACAGGGAGAAAACGGCCGGGGAAAATGCAAGGTTGCTGCCCAATGCCATGCATGAGGAGAGAAAGGAGCAAGAAGTGAAGAGGAGAGAGAAGCTAAAAACTGTGGCAGGCAAAGTGCTAAAGGCCCTGGCTAGTGGGAAAGAGGCAGCGAAGGAGAAGGCTGGCGGCGAGGATGTGGCAGGGCATTTGCTGAAGGTGGCGACCAGTAGGAAGGGAGTGGAGGGGGGGATGCCTCCAGGTAACCTTGAAGTTATCTCTGGGTCCAGCCCTGGACCTTCTCTGCCTCTCCCAGCCTTGCTGGCTCTTGTTTCCGTTAGCTTTTGGAGCAGGTGCTTTAAGCTTTTCCCCTCCCTGTCCTTCACCTGAGTTCTTGTCCTTTCTGAACTGTACGCTTGCTCCTCTGGAAACTTCTGTATTTCACTTTCCCTTTGCCTCACAAGTATTTCTCTTTCCTGTTCTTATTTTTATCCCTGCAAAGACTCCTGATGTGTCTTGTGAGAAGGATGATGCATGTGGGACTGACACCCTGTCGGGTGTGACTGTGCTGTTCTTCCATGGATAGGGAGGGGGATATAGACTGTACATGGGCTAATTGTACCAAGTAAACATTTCTTACGCATTGCATGCATCAAAGCAGGACAGGCACAGCTTGCTAGCCCCTTCCTGAGCAGTTTGTCCATTGCTTTGCTGAAGATCCTTGCATCAACCTGTCTCCATTTTGTGTCACGTTCCTCCCTCCAGTCCTGTTTGATTTAATTCTTACTACACAGATGAGGTATTTTCATCGAGGAGAGTGAGGATACAGGTGAAAGATAATGGATGCTCAAATTCTTTCACTCTTCGCTCTACCCAAATGTGTACCCTGAACTGATTTCAGAGTCCCACTGCTTCTGGCCTGGCTTAACGCTCCCTGGGTTCTCATCAAGTCTGATATTTCCTCTGGGCTCTGCTCCAGATACCTTTGGGCAACTCTTGTTAACCCTTCATTGCTCAATTTTGTAGTCTGTAAAAGGCACAGGAAAAAAACTGCAGCACTGGGCAGCTGTTGTGAGATCACATTTAACTCTAGTGGTGGGCTGGGTATGATGGGTAAGATACTTTGAAAACAAGCCGCTGTGGAAAACTTCTTCCAACTTTTGAACTTGAAAGGTTTCGTAACTGCCTTGACGGGGTGTCTGGTGATTAGGGCAGTGGCCCAGTCACCACAGCTTCTTGCAGACATGGAAGTTGTGGGGAGTTATGTGAATCCCCGTCGCTGAGACGCTGTGTGTAGATAGACCACCTTCTGATTTTCACCTTTGGGTGAGATAACACGCATAGTTGTTTGGCCTAGTCAGAAAGCCCCGGCAAAGAGAGGGCCCTGGACTGCACTGAGCAGCCTTGGTCTCAGATGGGCGCTCGCTGGCAGGAGTGACACCCTCTGCGTAGCCATGCCAGGCTGAACAGGCGGCAGGGACCTTACAAGAGAGTTTGCAGCACTTTGGTCCTGCCAGGGTTTCTGTAGAGAAGGTGGTGGGTTCCTTCTAGGCTTGACTTTCAGCTGTTGGTTCTTTCAGAAGATGTCCTTTCACTAATGCTTTTCTTCTGGACAAAAGATACGTTCCTTAAGGAAAGATTGTCCTTAATGAGCCTGCATTGCCCAGATGAGGATGTCTACTGGGATGACAGAAAGCTGCAGAACACTAGTCTGCAGGCTTAGTTAGCTGAGAGGAGAAAGGATGAAAGAAAGAAAGAAAGAGGAAAGAAAGTGCTTGACCTGAGGAAATTGGGAGGTGCTAATCCTAGACCTTAAGTGAGGTGATCTTGAGTAGAACCTGAGGAATTTTGAATACACATAAACTACATACTTCAGTACTTGGATATAAAAGTGATAGGTCCTACAGAGGAGCAAAAAACCATCAAGTTGTGTTGTTAATCTCTCTGTTGCAGAGGAAACAATCTGTGGATTCATTGAGCAAGGAAAAATTTTTGAAGCTTGTAATTGTATTTATGATCTGGAGCATTCTGGAAATGATGGTGTGGGAAAGTCTGAATCACTTTATACGCTACTGGCTGAACGAATGTGGTCTGTGGTGGGAGAAGCACTCAGTGGGAGTGATAGGATGTTGCTGGAGCCGTTGCAGTCGGTGGGGGAATCGCTGAAGTGGAAGAAGCAGAAGAAAGTGGAGTGGCTTGGCAGCGGCCAAGAGGTGGAGTCTGTTTCCACCTGGAGTCCAAAGTTCTGGAGGAAAGATCTAGAGGAAAAACTAATACAGTACATGACAGCCCAGATTCCCCTGTTTGGTTCCTCTGGTAACACAGATGAGACTGCACTAAAAGAGCATCTGAGTCAGCTGGAAATGATGTTTCTCCCCTGCCTGGAGCACAGAAGTGGTGTCTACAGGGAAGCAGGACTGCTCATCACCTACACCCGCTGCTGTCATGCCTCTTTGTCTTCTCACCTTTTCAAGCTTACTGACAGTAACCATTTCAGCTTCAGCCAATGTCTTTTAGTTTATGAATGGGGCCTTAAAATGTACAAAAGGTATGTTTGAAGGACTTCTTTTTCTCTACGTTTTTTCTGTGTCACTATTCTTCAGTTCTGAGCACAATCCCTGCTTCCTGGTAACGCTGTGATGCTCGGGACTCTTGCTGAGTTTAGACTTGCCCACTGCCTGTTTTATCTTCTGTGCTCTTAGAATTAGAGCATTTTTTCATTCCAGTACCGCCTCTTTCTAAATCCTTAGTATTGGGCTCAGGGGCTTACCCAAGGTAGGCAGGTATTTCTCCACTGGACTCTTGTTGAACATGCACAGTGTCCTGCTTTCTTGAACAATTCCTTTTCTCACATTAAGCCTTTTTTGTCAAGGTCCATAATACTCCAATTATTCCAGAATAATTTTCTCTTGCCTTTATGTCACCATGGTGCTCTGCGGACTTCTTTTCTTGTCTCCTTGGTTCTTTTGCTGCTTTATCTGGCTTGTATTTTTAGCAGTTGTTTCCATGTTTACTGCATTAGTGTTTAGATCACAGGAAAAACATATAGCAGATAATTAAATTCCTGCCTAATTTGGGGAAAATGGATGTGGCTTTCCTAATGATCTGAAGAGCGGCACATCTGGGACCTTTTGGCCCAGTGTGAATTCAAATCCTATGGATGTCATCAAAGCCTGAAGCTTTCTTGTAATTTTTTTTTGTATGTCAATGGTAGATGAGGTGTTTGATTCTCTGTGTCCATGGTTAGCTTGCTACTTGACATTCCAAATCTATTTATGTCCTAATAGTTTTCAGCCCTTTTGCATTATTTGATTGCTTCCAGCCAAGCCTAGAGCTTCCATGTTCCTTCTATTAATTACACTTATAAACCCTTGATTAACTCACAAACAGTTAATCAGGTGGGCTTTTCCCCTCATCAGCTCCCAAAGGAGGGAGGTGGAGTAGTGGGTACACACTGGTGCACGCTGTCCTCAGACACATGGGAGACATGTGGCCAGGATGCATCCCTTCTACTGCTATATTTATGGGCTTAAAATGGTAAAACCTTGGTTTTAGATAGGAGTAATGGGTTGATGAAATATTAAAAATTTACATGAAATTGGAGGTGAATAATTATGTAATGTAAATATATAATGAAAAGCTCAAAGATAGGAAAAAATGTGTTATGCAAATGCTGAATTCCTTCAAGAAAAAAAAGAAAAAGCAAGAGCAGCCCGTGACTGTATTAGGGTCAGAAGGTAGGGAAGAAAGTGGAAATAAGCAAAGCAGAGATTACAGACTTAACTATTTGGATTTTCCTCTCTGAATAGTTACAACCTTAATGAACGCTCCTGTACAGATGCAGTTGTCCTGATACATAGCTGTTTTTTTATTCCATTCAGATAGGATATGTTACACTTGTAAAATTGTGCATCCTTCGAGGTGTGTTTGGGTGACTCTGCCCAAGCCCAGGAAGGAATTCGGCAGCAGGACTGAGGGAAGGGGAGAGGGAAATGGTGAGCAAAATGTGTAATTTGGACAGCGCATGCTGGAAGAAGAAAAAGAAACAGCACGAAAGAATAGCTGTCTGAAGGGCATGATAAAGGTCGTCTGCCATGCTGTGGCCGCCCCGACACTGCAAACGCTGCCGGGTGCGTGCAGGGCACCCCGCTTGCTCCGCGTCAGGCCGGGGTGCCAGGCAGGGGGGGCAGGCGGGTGCCAGGCTGTGGACCAGTGGGAAGCAGCCCCTCCAGCTGAGCTCTTGTTTCTGTACGCAGTGGCAGCGAGACATGTCTGGGACCCAGGCAGAGCCCCCAGCACAGCCCTTCCCTTGGTGAACACTGTCTCGTGTGGATTATTTTGAAGACTGAGGAGAAGTTACTTGCAGTCGCCCGGGTAAGAACTCTGGAGTTTTACCCCAATCTGCCCGTTTTATTCCCACCGTTTTAAAATAAGGAATGCCCTTGTTAAATTAGCTGGTCCCTTGCTGGCTGAGCCGGCCCTGCTCAGGTGTACGTGAGCCCTGAGGTCTCCATCTTGGCCAAGTTTCATTGCAGAGCCCATGTGTGAATATCCATGACTGTCTTCTGCCAAAGGGATGCTGCCCTGTCCTTGCTACTTAGCAAAGAGATGCTGGGACATTTGCAAATCTCTGTCTTCATCCCGTTGCTGCACTTTCACAGTGCTGCAATCTACTCTGCTCAGAAGCCAGTATATCTGGAGGAAAGGGAGGCTATGGGTGAAATCCACTTTCTTCTTGAGGGCCATTTCAAAATGCTGTTCATCTTCTCTCCAGCTGTTAATAAGCCCATAGTGTGCAACAGTCGGGGGTTTTTTATAGCCCCTTTGCCTCAGCTGTGCAGGATATTGAGGCTGCCAGGTTTGTCTGTATGTGAGCCCCTCACAACCCTCTCCAGGCTGCCAGACTGACCCTGCTGAGGGTATAGCAAAGATTATTTCTGGAGCCCAGCACAAGAAATTGTGCAGCTGGTGCACATCTGGCACAGCCCTCCCTTAGGGCCGGAGCAGGGCATCCTGCCTTGCCATCCCACAGGATCCTGCAGGATCTCCTCCTTTTCTCAGGGAAGCTCCCTCTTGGAAGAATGCTGTCTTGGCATGTGGAATACAGATGAAACAGGGAAGATGCATTGTAGCAACAGGGTGCTCCAGAGGAAGCCATGCTCTTTGGAAAACTCAGCAGGGCCTTTTAGGTTCAGCTAAAGGCAAAATGTAGCAGCAGGAGTTCCCACACTCATCTCTCTCCCTTTCCACCAGCCCCTGGAGAGCAGAGGAGGGGAAATTCCATGGCAAACTGCTGAATCACCCCAGGGAAGGTACTTTAAATTGCAGAGATTTTTCTCAAGACGTATTCCCTGAAGGAGAACACGAAGGTAGTCACAAGCATGGGAGTAGAGATGCCAGCTGGTGACAGTATGCTTAAAACCTACTGATTTCAGTGTTTAACATTAAGCATCTTTATGGGATGTTTCTAATCATTACCCTGGGGAAGACCACATGTTCTTAAGGTCTGTTTTTAGCACGTATTTCAACAAAGGAAATGACATTACTCAGGGTAGTGCTAGTGAGGTTATCTTAGAGCATGTTGCTGAGTCATTGACAAACACTCACAGATGCTGACTGACAGTGATGGAGAATTTAACTTTTTTTTTTTTTTTTTAATTCCCTCTGATGTAGTGGCTGGAGAAAGGTTTTCTTTAATCATGGACTTTCTGCTTTCCTGGTACACCATGCACTGAGCAGGCTCACCTAGATCAGTGGTTACAAGCTTTTGTGCCATGCTGCCCTGACTTGGCTGTATTTTATCATGGCATCTTGGATCTGGAAGCATCACAGCTCTACATGGTGTTGCACTGTCCATAGAGAACAGAGCTGGAATTGCTGGAGAGTATGGTACAGCAGCGTCCCAGCTCACTTCAAATCTGGCCAGCCTAGGACCAGCTCCAGGTTCAAGTTAATGAGCTGAAGTGGACATGAGCTGACTCCATATTGAAAAATTATGGATGTCTCTTCACTCAGCTCAGTGACATAGCTTATAAAACCTGCTCTATCCCTCTTTTTCCAGGAAACTCCAACCCTTCATTATTGCAAATATACAGGAAGCTGCTACTGAGCAAATATCCTGTCAGTTATCTCTGAGCAATTTTAATATGTAATTGTGACTGTAAATCACATGGTGCAGGTTTTGCCACTTCAATGGATGACTAAATTTTAATAAGTGAAGAGACTGACCAGAGTAAGCCATGGTCTGCTTTGCCTGTGAATACCTGGCTTGTCACTGGGAGTGCCGGCCTGGTACTTGTGCAAACTAAAAGCACTTTAAAGAGAAGTGAGTGATGAGAACTGCGACCACATCTGAAGGCGCTGAGAGCTCAGATGCCATGTCGGGTTCAAAACCACTTCCAGACAGCACTGCGGGGTGCTCGGCCAGCTCTGCATGCAGGCAGCGCTCCCTCAGCCCGGGCACACCTAGGGCAAGGGACCTGTGCGCCTATTGAGGTTGCAAAGTTAATGAACTGGAAACGATGGTGTCATCGATTGGGTTGTCGATCTGTCACCCCTGCCCTTGCTGTACTGGGGAATTTGACAGGAGTGCAAGTCAAACCTTCCAGCATGATGTTGTCTGAGTTCATTCTGATACTGAGAGGTGGAAAATGGACTTTCCATCCCCTGATTCTGCAGACTCAGCTCAAAACTTGGTCATTGTCCAAAACCAGAGATGGCAGGACCAGACATGCACACCTGGACAAAAGCTCAAGGAGGGTTTAGGCTGACCTGCAAAGGATCACTTGGGTCTGTGTCTGTCTCCCTCCCTCCCTCCCTCCCTCCCTCCCTTCCTCCCTCCCTCTATTTTTTCAAGTAGACAAAAGGAGGACTGAGAAGTTCATGTGCTTTGGAGAATTTGGGCAGAGGACCTGCTGCTACCCAAATGAATAAGGTTGTGCAGTTGTTCTGCCCACCTGCCTGCCGATGTGTCAGCGGTACGCCCCCACCTGCATTGAGCCTCTTCGCTAATTTTGACCACACTTGATAATGATGTAGAGGTCTCAAGAATTTCAAATGTGTTTTCAGACGGCAGCTGGACAGATGAGGGAGCCAAGTTATAACTCAGCTCTTTGTATTTTCCAAGAGGAAGCTGTTGGCTGGGCAGTCAGCACTGGCAGGCTAGCCATCTATGGATCTGAAGCTTTTACATCATGGGGTACCACATCTTGGTCATGCAGGGAGGGACAGCTGGAGGTTATTTATGGGCCTGTTTGTTACAGTAGAAATTCTGGTCCTCTCCACGTCGGAGCTTTGGTGCCTGAGGTGCTGGTGTCACCACAAGAGCTGCAAATGTGCAAGCTCGTGCTAATTCAGACACATCATCTGATCCAAAGCAACTAAGTACTGTGGCTCAACAAGTTATTACCTTGCAGTTATTAACTAAATACATACTTTGTCCCATAGGGGAGCAAGACCTTTGTGTTGGCTTAAGATGACACATTTTACTGTGCAACTGGAGCAGGCTAGAAGTGTTTGTGCAGCTCGGCTGGGATATATTATCTCAGCACATCATGTTCACACAGTTGCTCGCAATCAGGTGATGGCGCTCAGGAGGAAAGGAATTTTTCTTGGATTGTTTACAACTGCTTATTTGTCTTTGATTAACACTTTTCAATGAGTGTGGCAGAACAGTTGTTTTGAATATACTTTTGATTAAATTCTTCAGTGACAGCCACAAATTTCCTAATTCATCAGCCAGAAAAGAACAAAGACAAAAATGGAAGATCAGACCTTAGATTCTTTCTATTTCCTTGGAGGAAAATGCAGAAATGAAAGAATAAACAAATGAGCCAGGCGTTTGAGTTTAAAGCTTCTATAAAGGTCAGTTCATGTTTTAAGCAATGAGCTCTTCCTCTCCAGTGTTAGTTTTGTTTTTAAAGTCCATTCAAAATAACACAAGCCAACCAAGTCTTGGGAAATTTCCCGTCGTGTAGCCTCATGGGGCTCATCTTACCATGACAGTAGCTCTAAACACTAACCCAGCTTCTCTTTGCACTCAAAAGTCCCTGGTTCAAGTGAGGGAATGCTTTTAATTAGCACTGGCTGGTTTATGTGGGTGCTGGTTGGAGCTAGGAAGGGTGGAAAATCTCAGCTACAGTAGCTGGCAGCACAGAGTTGTGTCTAAACGTTGTTTTGCTGTGTGGGTGCCTTCATTTAAGCTAAGCTAACTAGGGAAGACTGTAGATAACCCGAGCTGACACTGGGATGAAAGGAAGCTGCAAATCATTTAAACTCACACAAACAATGTAGAACAAAACAGAACAATGTTATTAGGTCAGCTGGAAAATAGCCAGGCTTTGGGTTAAACAAGATGGCCAAAAAAATAGAGGCAGAAATTCATCTTGTCCAAATGCATAATGAGAGACTGGAAAACCTAACTCATTACGAATGCCACTGTAACTCATCTGTTCTTTTTTCTTTTAATATTTAGAAGGAAGTGGGGAAAGCCCTGAAAGAAGCCTTTGAAGTTGGGAAAACCCCTTGTGCAGATGGTGCAGTCGTTCAGGTAAACTGGGGGGAACTGAAAGGCTCTCATATTTTGGGGCAGTTCTTGTTTTGTACACGTGTGTGTAGGTATTTGGTAAGACCCAGTTTTGCACGTCTCGGACTAAGCTCTGTGTGTGAAAAGCTTGCCAGTTAGCTGCCACACTTAAACTGCATCTGTTTGCTCCCAAACCTGTCTTCCTCTTGTGCATATGTAAAGAAAAAGAAACCAGCTAAAAAAGGATGAGCCTGATTAGCTGATTCAGGCTGAAGCTGCATTTTCATATATGCCCCTTGATTTTCATGTAACCTTTCGGAAAGTGATGAGGTGTGTTGACCGGTCTGCTCTGTATGAGTTCTGCAGAGAACTTTTATAAAAGCAGTGAGAGTTGCGGAGCCACAGCAGGTTCCCATTATCTGGCAGCACAAATGCAGGCAGTTTGCTCCCTGCTATTGGGCTGGGAACAGCTGCAACTGCTGCCCCGACGGGTTAGGCAGCACAAGGGACTACTGAGCACAGCGAAGCCGCGTGCTCGCAGGGCATCGCAGAAGCACGCTCTGCTGATTTATGAGCAGTACATACCATGGCCAGAGGGTGTTTGGATCAAGACCTGCAGAAGGCTTAAAATAAATCCTGGAGTTTACATGTAGACTTAAGCGATGCGAGAGATGATGGGCAGGTCATGGGCTGCTGTGACTATATCTGTCTTCACTGCTACCACCCCAGCAGCAGTCCTGTTTCAGCTCAGAAGAAAGTAGCCCCACGGTCTTTTGGGATGGCAGACAATCTCAGGCACCCAGTTGGATGCTGGTGGTAGGCATTGCAGATCAACAGCTGCTGGCCTTCCTTGTGAGGATACAGCTTTAGCTGACAAAACCTGGCTTTTCTGGCCCAACTCAGACCCAGGCACCAAATGTAGAGCTGACAGAGGGGACTGCTCCCTCCTCACCTCGCCCTGTGCCCGCTGGTGCAGTGGAGTGGTGTACTCAGGGAGGCACCTGTGCTAGGGTGGCTTTTAGCTACCGAGCTGGATTTTTTTTTTTTTTTTTTTTCTTTCCTGCTTCTGGCTGACAGAGCAAAGGTTTCTAATGGGGACCAGGCCATAGCCTGGCTTGAATGCTGTGGTCCTCGTATCTGCAACATCTGTCCATGCTTCGGCATGAGTGGTTTTGCTCTGTTGTGTATGTAACCCATCGGTTTGAATGCTCTGGGTTAGGTGATGGAAAAGCCTGGATAAATAGGCAAGCCTTATGAAATTACCGCCTCCTCAGGTTTCTCAGGCTGATGCTTAAAGATCAGATTGAAAATGAACAAGGTGTCATGGAAACCCACGAGCCATGGTTTCCTGACACTTTGGGGTGGCATATTTTATCCTGTCCCTTTGGGTGAACTTTTACATCTGTTGTGCACAGTGGAAAAACCCATTCATGATGTGAGTCACCCTTTGTCTCTGGCTGACGCTTCCCAGAGCACTGGGAGAGCACAGCCCATGAGTCCATCTGTCTCCTTTTACCCATCTGGCTCTCCTCCCCTTGCAAGCTTTTGTTTCCACAGGGCAACTAATGGGCAGCATTAAGTTGCCACCTGCTCAAGCCTGCCCAATATGGGGTGGATTTTTAGCTGTCTGGCACAGCCCACCTCCTGCAGGCACCTGGGCCACCCAACTGGGCTCAGTGGGGCGAGACAGGCGCCGTAGGGTTTAACACACATTGCCGTGCCAGGCGTGAGTGGTGGTGGCTGGGAAGATGATACCTGTCTTCTTCAGACATTTCGTAGAAACCCTGGCAGGGGCGCAGGGCACACATTTAGAGCTGTCTAGCTTTTTTTTTTTTGTGGCTGCACCCAAGTTTATCTGTGAGGGTGAGTCACTGAGGGTGAACGCTGGTGCTCCTGCAGACAGCAGGTCTTTGCATGAGCTGAGCTGCCAGGCGGGACATGGCCAGCAGAGAACATCTGAAGGGACAGGCTTTCCCCTGAGTGCAGGACTTGACTCCAGCCTGTTGGCTGCAAAGAAAGCAGCGGTAGCAAAGGTGTGGGATCAGGCATTAAAATCAGGCTCCTAAAAAATACTTTTATTTCCCCAAGGGCTGTCAAAACTGAAACAGAAGTTGTTGCCTAGCAAGCAGAGGGATTTTCATCAGGGTGAGGGATGGGACGTATTCCTGTTCACTGCATAGGGAACAAACAGCTTTGCCCGGCTCTCCTCTCACAACTTAAATCCACAGATACTAACAGAGAAGACGGAGGCTGCCTGTCGTGTCAGTGAGAGCCTGAGCGAGAAAGTGGAAGCAGCGTGCCTGGAAGAGTGCCTGAAGTTCCTGGAGAGGTAGGAAGGATGCTGTTTTCCTCTTTGGCATTGTCCTCAGTGCTCAGAAGAAAGAAATCTTGATGAAGCGACAGGCGATGCTGTGTTCACCCAGATCTGCCATTGCCCCTCTGTAGTTTGATGTCTGTTTCCCATCAAGCTGTTACTTGAAAGACAGCGTTTGCTGCTGTGTATGTGTGCTCAGCGTTTGCTGTTGGACTGAAGCTGAGGAAGCAAAGTGCACCTGGAGTTGCCTGGACAGGTTAAAGCCTTGGGGGGATGTTCTGGAGAGGCTCAGACCTTAAAAACAACCAGAAGAGAGGCAGCCACGTGGCCAGTGCCCAGGCTTGGCCCTTCCTACCCTGGCTGTGCTTCCCAGGCACGGTGCTTTCTGCTGGTTCACTGGGAGGGTGAGGAGCTGTGCTCTCTGTCCTGCTTCTCAGGGGGGAATGAATGTCTTCTCATCTTCTGCCTTCTCACCCCTTTTCTGGCTTGCTTTATCTGCTTTTTGTGCTTGGCCTCTCCCTCCCTGTGTATCCCCTGCAGCAGAAAATGCCAGTACTCTGATGGTTGTAGGTGAATGTTTCAGAAGGAGGTTTGATTTAAGATCCTTGGCTCTTCACATTATGAGAGGAAGAAAAGTCCTATAAAATGGAGTTGTCCAGGAGCCATTTGTGAGACTGAAGCTGTGACAAAGCAGCCGATAGACTTTGTGGGTTATTCGTACATGCTGAGGCTTTATTCTGCAACTTTAATGACAAAGCCTGAGTTGCTTCCCAGAAGCAAGGGTTGCAGCAACAGCAATAGTAAAATGAACCTCCTGCCCCTTGACCCTAGCAGTGGCACCCAGGGACCTCGAGGGCTCTCCCTGTGCCATTCCTGTGTTCTCCTTCCTCACCAGGTGGGCAGGACAGAGACTCTCTTTGTCCTGCTGTAGATCCCACCTTGGGGAGTGAAATGGTGTGTGCTGAAAAGACAAACAATCACAGAGTATTTCTTCCATTTGCTGCTGGGCTAATGCTGTCAGATGTGTTATGGAGCACGCCAGCTTAAAGATATGTCTTCCTGTTTTAATTTAGCTATGAAAATGAAGTGAGAAGCTTTCTCCAGCTCGATGGCTGCTCAGGGATCTGCAGTGGCTTACGAATCCTGGAGAACTGCTGCATTCTCAGGTTAGAAACCAGACCCGAGTGGCATGTGAAGCGAAATGCATTTTCTGCTGTCTGATCTTCTGACTCTGCTGTGGGGTCAACCTTGCCTCTGACTGGATCTGGCCATCCAGCCCCATGCACGCCAGCCCTTAAGCATGGAGGGAGCCGGCTGTGGTCAGCAAGACCCCTCAGCACTGCCCTGGCTGCCCCAGCGAGAGGGAGACTTGGGGAGGGGCTGTGCCCGTGGCCAGGGCTGGGACCGCTGCGTTGGCAGTGCTGTCTTGCTGCTTCTGTCCTGCTCCGAGGCCCGGCAGGGCCATGGCCTGTGGGCCACCATCTCGCTCTTCCCGGTGCCCACAGCCCCGAGCAGGAGCCAGGCAGCAGCGCTGTGTTGCGTGTGGGGATGTTATCCTGGCCAACCCTGCCATGTGTTGCGATGTGGTTCCTTTCCCTGGCCTGGTTCTCCTTGGTTGGAAAAGCCTCATAAATGTTGTGCTGAGGTGCGTGTGCTAGCGCACTTCAAGGTAAGCCCAAGCTTAAGTGCTTTGCTGAATAAAACCCAGCTAAACATGCCAGGCTTTCCCTGGGGTTGCTGGGAAGGAGGGAAGCAATAAAGCACAGAAGGGTGGGGGAGGCTGTTTGCACTTACGAGCTAATTTCAGAAGTGCTTGCAGGGATGGAGAAAACAAGGTTGCTTCTCTTCTTCCTGTGTAAAATTATCCAGGGATCGCTGGAGTCAGCAAAATGCCCAAATCCAGCATATGCACAGTGCTTACTTGACATTGGAGCCTTGCGTTGAGCCTAGGTAGCTCTTTTGTTTGTTGTATTTGCATGTTGCTGATGCTGAATCCTAGACTGAATACTTATGAGGCTCTTTTATGTAATTCTTCACAGTGGTACTGAGCATTAAGTTATACACTGAGATTTTGCAGAAAGTAAAATGTCTGGTTTCAAGCTGGTGATCATTTAAACCATGATTTGCTGACTTGAAGACTGTTCTGATGGAGGATAATTGTTTGTCTTGTATTTGCAGGGTGTTGGAGGCTCACAGGATGCTCACCTAGCCTCCATTTGTCAAGGCCACTTCATGCCTACTAATTTTTTAAAAGACTAGAAGTTTTACTAACCTTATCTCACTAGCGATGGATGTATGTGGCATATGTGTGCATTGAGCTCTCATGGCCTTGTGGCAGCATCTTAATGAGAGCCATCCAAAAGATGGGTGCACATATGTGGGTCACTGAGCTAGCCCTGGGCCTGAGCATGTGTCCATTCAATTACCCAGGCAGTTGTGTTGGTTACTGTAGGAAGAGTTTTGATCTGAGAGAATAGCCTGATTTGATCTGATCAATACTTTCCATATCCCCCCCCTTTTTTTTTTTTTAAACAGGACTATCTGGCATAAGCTAACATACATATGCAGTGCCAGCACTGGTCAAGATGTTAAGGTAAATGGATTTCTAGACAGGATGGAAGATGACATTACAGAGCATTTTCTGCAGACAATCACTTCTAAAGTCAAGGTATGGGAGATCCATGTTAATACTGAATATTTTCAGAGTGTAGGGCAGGCACGCACTTCAGTCTCATGTCCTGATTTGGAATGTGTGGGATCATAGTTTCATCTTCAGGCCCAGTACTATCCTCTGCCTTGTCCAAAGCTGTATATTGACAGCTTTGTCTTTTCCAGATTTTGGGATCCCAGTTTCACTGTTTGTAGTATTTGCTGTGGTGCTACAAATGGGCACCCAGACCCCAAGGGTTGAACTTCGCCTCATACGTACTCATCCCCCGCAGCTAGGCATCTTCCCAGGGCAGTGATAACTCACAGAGCCCTTGGCTGTGGTGAGTAGTCAAGATGTAGAGAAGGCTGATCAGAAATGTGTCCTCTCTTGGGATAAGTTCCCCTTCTTCACGCTTTCTGATATTAGACTATTAGCCCAGACACACACCTTCATATCCTGGGCTCCATGTCTAGATGACACACAATTGCAGGCTCTTATAGCATGTGGTGTTGTGTATTTCCTTGGGAAGTTCCCCATAGCATCTTCAGGCTCATTGCACAGGCTCCCTCGAGCGTGCTGAAGGCAGCAAAAGGAAAATGACAAAAGTAAACCTGGCCACACTGTGCAGTTTTGGTCTCCAAAGCTTACTGCCAGCCTGTCCCATGCACCACACACCGGGTTGGGAGCTGCAGGTGGTTTTGACAGAGAGCATGGACAACCCTGGGGAGGAACAGGAGACCTAGTGCTCGGGTTTTCAGTCCTTCTCTGGCTGTGTCGACATGGGCTTTGAATCGTGAAAGACAGAGTTTATCCCCTGCCTGCCTGCTCAATGATCCTTGTGCTTTCCCACTGAATAAAAGGCAATGGCCATGATGGGAGCAGGATGCCAGAGCAGAGGGGTGCAGAACAGTTGTCTCTTCCTGCACTCCCCATCTGTAGGGGCACATTTTACATACTTTCTGGATTAGAGCTATTGCCACCCATTTTTCATAGTTTTGCTCTTCCGGGTTTGAATTGAAGAACTTAATACATCCTTCCTGAGTTCAAATTGTTTCTTTTTCATGTTTTGCTTTTCTTTGAACTGAAGGCACAAGATCCTGCAGCTTGCGAAGGAGTCTGTTTCTGAGAGCAGAAGCTGCAAAAGCACAATAATCCGTGTCTGCTGTCTGTGTGGTGTCTCTGCACCCTTTGACTCTGTGTGTCCCTTTTCCTTAGAGAACACTGAAGGAGCACTTCAAAAAGTGTGACAGTGGTTTTGACCACATCGTTGAATCCTTAAAGCAAAGCTTTTTGGCATTTGGGAAGAAAAAAACAGGCACGTATGAGGTAAGAAATAAGAAAGTAAGAACAAGATATTACTCGGGAAATGACTAAAACTAGTCCTTGAACCTCTGTATGGCACAGTATTTGAACATCAACCCAAACTACAATTTTGACTGTTTTTAAAAGGGCTTTTAAAGATCTGGTGGTCTCAGTCCAGTTCCTCTATCCAACAGAGTTGGATATCTTCTTTACCATGACAGCTAGGACTTTTCTGTAATCTGAGAGAAATGAACAGATGAAGAAATGTGGGAACTGAAAGTGCATCCCAAATGCAGAGGGGGAGGATTGGGCCATCTCTGATCTTACCATCACCCCAATACCATTATATTAGAAATCTCAGCTTCTAATGTGCTTCAACCTTAGCTGTAAGGTATAATTATCCCTTTGATGGAGGGTGGACACACGGAGAGGTGAAAGGTCCAGGTCCCTAAAGGACATAGTCTGTCAGGCAGAGTTAAATATGCCAGGGCTGGCAAAGAACAACCTCACAGAGTACCTATGTTTTTTTACCTTTGCAGTGCATGTCCCCCTAAAACTGGACTCCCTTTCTCTTACCCTCCCAGGTCTGCAGGCTCTTTGTCAGTGCTGATTTTAATTAACATTTTGAAATGTGGAAAAAGGTAATGGAACAGAAAGAATTAGGAGCTATTCTGCTGTTGTTCAGAGCCTGTCACTGGACATTATGTCACATTAGTGCTGGGCAAGCAGCAGCTCGGTGGTGGAGTGCTGTACCAGAGCTGTCTGTCTCTTGCTTTGTCTGTTTTGGACAGGGCTGGGGATTTCCTGTACCTTTGGACTGCAGCCTAAAACTGCTCTGATTTCAATTGCTGATGAAAATGTGGTTTCTGCGCAGCAGCCCATCTCCCCTTAGAAATGCTCACTCTCCCTCCCCCTTTCAGGCACTGCACGATCTAGGCACTGGGGTTTCTCAGCAGGTGGTGGGTAGCTCAGAGATGTCCAGGTGACTTCCCTCTGCCCAGGCACAGCTGCGCACCCAAGGGCATGGCCCTGGGACGTGCCTAGTGGGGGTGCTGCAGGGAGGCTGGATCTGGTTTTGTCTGTAGTCCAAGCTGTCCCCAAATGACATGTTTGTTAGCTTGGGACTAAGCCAAGTGTCACTGCTGCTCTGGAGTGTGAGTGACCTCTGGCTCAGCTAACTGGTCCCATTGCTTTTGGTTGGATGTCTCCACACTTATCATCGATGTTTATGTCATCCACATACAGCTTGGAGGTACTCCATGTGTTAGACCAGGCATTTTAAAGGGATACTTAAGCAAAGAAGTGGAACAGCCATCTGCATGGACCGTATATCTGCTGTTGACACTGGTCAGAGTTCTATAGGTATGGTCTGGTCTTTGCTCAGTACAGGGAAGTTAATCTGGGCATCTTTCTCTGGAACAGGCCCTCGTCAAGGCTGTCAACGCCATCGTTATTACAGAATATGTTCAGGCCCTCCTGACCACTTCCAGGAAACCATCTTCTGTGCAGAGGAAGAAGATTGTCAGCAAGTTAGAAGAAGACCATAGGATGCTGCAAACTTTCTTTATAGAGTGCTTAGTAAGTCTTTGATTTGGTTACAGTTTTGCTTTCTGTCATCAAGAACAGTGCCAGCAGAGGAAAAGGTTCTGAAAGCAACAGAAAAGCTTCAGAGGTCATCCCACAGTGGTATCCAGCTTCACAGAAATGACAATCAAATGTACCGACAGCCCTTCTGATCTGCCAGAAGCTGTTAGTTTATAGTTTTGAAATGTGTGACTAGAGGAGGCAAGTTTCACACTCCTGCCACTGAAATGTGAGGCTCGCTCCTCTGAGCTGATGAGACAGCTCCGAAGTGGTCAGGTCCCCCAGGCAAGCTTTTGGTACATGGCAGGGGGGTGCAGATGAGGAAGAGCTGTGTTCCCCACAGTGCTTTCCCTTGAGCCTCTGGAGTGATGAAACAAATCAGCTGCTCCACACCTTCACCTTCTCCGTGGATTGCTCTGTGTGGCTGCTCCTCCCTGGACATGGGGTGTGTGGTGTTACCCCTCCGTCCGGCCTCCTCCCCCCCCCGCAGGCCCTTCCCAGCCCCTCAGAGCTGGGCTGATGGCTGTGTGAGCCATTTCCCTGTGCTGCAGCTTTTCCTCACAGGAGGAAACATGCTGATGCTGTTGCAGTTGGTGACAGTTGCAGGGAGGAGTGAATCTTCCTGCAGGGCTCAACGCCTCATAGCACTAGGAGGTAAAGATGCATTGCAGAAGGGATAGATAGGGTGTAAAAGCAGAGCCACCCCTTTGAAGAAAACTTGTGGAAAAATGCTAGGTCTGATTTGCTGAAGCAACTTCAGAAGCTTAAAAAAAAAAGCCTCTTTGCTTAATTCATAATCCGGTGTAATTGGCAGCGCCGCACACGGCATCTGCAGATGCCACCAGGCTGCCACATGGGTCCCTTTATTACCCAAGGGCAAGGACTGCAACGCCAGCAGCATCCCCTCCTGCCGCTGCTCCAGCTGGAGAATTGCTGCCATGCAATGTCCCCTGGCACAGCTCTTTTTCAAATGCAGACAGAGTGCCCAGGCGTAGCACTTTGTGAGAGGCTGGACAGAGCATCACGTTTATGGTTGCAAAGTCAGACTGGTAACAGGACTCAGATGTGACAGAGCAGATGAAGAAACTGCAGCTTTATTTGTTTTAATAATTTCACAAATTCTGACACATTCTCATGACTTGTGAATTTAAGTGCTAGGGACTGGAAATCTCTTTTCTCCCAGATGAGTCCCTGGGCAAGTTATTTGTCAGCAATTCTTACTTTGTCCAAAGAACAAAATGAAATCAAAACGATTGTCTGTAGGCTTCTCTAAAAAGCTCTCAGACCCGTTACAATTAATACATTAGTTTCATGATGGAAAGCTGGAAGCTGCCAGTGCTTTTAGCTGAAGACCCACCTCACCTGGAGTGATCAATCACAGATGAGTCAATGCTTTGAGCAATCGAACCAGTGGGACTAGCAGGAGGATTCTCTAATCTTAACTCTGAAGTTTACCAGTAAAGCTGTGTTCAGCATCACCTTTGGAGGTGATGTGCAAGGAAAGCTGGTTTTATAGTGTAAAGGAGATACAGGAAATTGAATTATCTACTAAAACCCTACATTCATCTTGGGTGAAAAAAGTCTGCATCTAGTTAGCACTGTTTCCCTTGCATCCCAAATCTGTTCACTTCCTTACTTGATGTGGGAGTGCTGAAAACCTTGGGGAGGAAATGCATAAGCGATTTGCAGGGGACAGCCTGATCCTCAGTCAAATGAGGTACACGGTTATGCATGCAAAATATGTACTCTTCTGCAGACTGAATTTACCGTGCAGTTGCTGCACAGGCTGCACCTGCTCCCTGCCCTACTCTGCCCTCTCTTCAGTCTCTTCCTTCCCCTCTGTCCTCAAAACACATTAGGAAATACCTCGCTTCGTTCCTAAGAGCAGTATGTGTCAGAGGCACTTAAGCACTGCTGGCAACACACTTCTTTTTTGTCCTTTTAGATTGCAGGCTGTTTACCTCTGACCTTGTCTGTCTGCATAGTGCTTAACTAAATCTGACACCTTCAAATTAATTAGCATGTTGTAATAGTGATCTTGCCAAGTATGAAGCTGTACAGTATCGGTGCCTTAGGAGCTGAGTACAGCTTGTGCGCTGTGCAGAGCTAGACATGCTGTGTGTCTGCAGTGCAGAGGAAGAGAGAGAAGGCTGTCTTCAAATAATACTATTATTTTTAATTTATGTTCAATGCGGAGGTGAGCTGCACCGAGAACGCAGCCTGCTATTTCTAACGCCCTGTGGAGATCAGGGGAACCTGGGCTTCTTCTGCCCTATTTTGGCAGCCCGTTCTCCAGGTTTGCTTTGTCACCGCGTCTCTGTTGGCATCAATAATTCAGGGAAGCAATTTAATCGCATTACTGCACCCATGAAAAATGTGAGCAAGACCTGAAACTCTCTCTTGGCAGTTCATCCACATTCTGCTTCTTTTGGCTTTGCTAAAAATGCTGTGTGTTTCTTGATGGGGCTTTCTTCTTCTGTGTGCTCCAGTTTAGAAGTAGCTGTCTATATGCAGCATCTACTAGCCATGTCATATGTATCCAGTCCTGTTTCCCATTTTTTCTGTTTTTCTGTTAGAGGATCTGTGTCCTCTCACCCTCTCCCCAAGGTCGCTTTTCTGTCCTTGGGCTTGCTCCAAGGCACCAGAAATGCCATCATGTCTGGTCAACAGAGCTTGTTTTCAGATAGGTACAGGGCTGTGCTTACGTCTGGAAGCAAACCACTTCCCAAAGGGTGAAAGAGCCTTGAGAGGACAGGTGTTGTAGGGAAAAATGAGGTACATTTGCCCACTTCTCCAAAGGAAATGCAGGAGGTGATTCTGTGCTGCCCAGACACCCTAGAAGCAGTCTGTGGCTACACCCCAATTTCTTTTCTCCTACCCTAGAGGGAAAACAGGCTTCTATACATGCACAGACAGTCCTGAAAAACTCCTAACCCATGCAGTGAGATCCCCAGACTGATACAAGTCCAGCTCTTAACATTGTATGCTGCTTCCCTTGCCCTGAACACACCTTTGCTCCTCTCCCCAGGGTCCTGCAGCTGGTCCCCTCAAGGATCCCATAAAAGCAATTTTAGAACTCATTCAGGCTTCTGATGCTGAGGGGATGAAAATAGCCCTTCTCCTCATTCTCAAAGAATTTCCTGGTCTAAGGTAAAGTCTTTTATTGGTTTGACTTCTGTGGTTTCTTACGTGATTACTTTCCATGAGAAGACCTACAGCAATATTAGTCCCATGATACTTTTGGCAGCACGCTGGGACAGGCACAACGATTACCTTTGAATGCACTCTGTGCTGCCTATTTGCAGACGCTGATTAACATGGTTTATAACTTTGCCAGACAATAACCAGTGGAGTTGAGATGTCTTTCTGTAAATGTGAAGTGTGGATGAAATGGCTGTCAACAAAGCAGGATTGCTGTGGAAAAATACTGTGTGCACAGACAATTTACAGGCACATATGTGCCAAATGTAGATTTCAAGAACATCCTTAACTGAGGCATTTCATAACTTCCAAGCACTTGGCTTTTGGCTTTAACACTTCACCAATCCTTTCCTAGGTATAACTATTTACACAAAATCCTAGGTGTATTCAGCAAGAATATACACTTCCATTTCTCACACGAAGCTGTTAACAGAAATGAAACACAACTTTTATTAGGAAGGTGAGATCTTAGCTAACTGTATTTGTTCCAAAGCCTGTGGTTTATCACATCTATCTTTTGTTCTGATGTCTTATGCTAGTGACTGTATTTTTCCAAATTAACATGATTACAGTGTAGAGCTCTCTGTCACAGGACGCTGTGAAGTCCAGAAGTGTGAATAGCTTCAAATGAGGAGCAGACAATTTGTGGTAGATAATTATTTCAGTGCCTATTCAACATGACAGTCATCATATAACCCCCAGAGAAGGAACTCCCTAAACTGCAGACTGCCAGAAGCAAAAAAAAAAAAAAAAAAAGACAAAGAGAGATCGTTATGCTTCATCCAGTTTCTGTATTTTTTTCCTAAGAATTTACTACTTTTGAAGATGCTATTGAGCTGAAAATCTGCTTATCTGATACAGCATAGCAATTCTTATTCTCTTACTATATATATACACACATATATAAATAGGAATACATAATAACTATATATTTATATATATATAAAATATAGGAAGTGGGCATAGGAAGTACTCAGAATAATATTATTTTGATCCAGATCTCAGAGGAGGTCATCCTGGTGTGAGTAGATGCACTGTTCTTGATTTCAGCAAATTCCTGTATGTTTAAAAATGTTTATCTTGGATACATTTGTCCTGTTTGTTAATAAGACTAATATGGTGTGGTCCCACTCAGCAAAGCAATGGTATATAAAACAAAAATCCTATCACTTTCCAGGTGAACAGATAGCAGCTCCATCTGAGGGGAGAAAACATACCAAAAATGCTTCAAATGCAGAGTTACCCGAAACCTATTATGGTAGATACAGATCTTTAGGAGAAACCTGAGGTGAAGATTCCCACAGTTTCATAGGGATGCTGTGTGCCCTGGGCTCAGGACCCACGAGCTCAGTCACATCACATCCCACACAGCTCTTGTGATACAGCCTCTTCCTTGCTAGGCGGCCAGAGGGTGTCAAAAAGCAGCTCAGCATCTTCCAGTCTTTGGTCCAGTCCGGCAAAACTGAGTGATAGGAAGCAAGCTTTTTTCCTTGATTCATTCACTGTCCTGCCCTCTTATTCTTTTGGAAAGGAAGGAAGATCTGAGTGCAGTGCTGGACATCAAAGTCTCACTCAGCCGAGAAGATAGAGCTGCTGTCTTGAAGGCATTTCAAGATAATTGCCGGGAATCAGAAAGACAAACAAACTTGCTTTTTGCAGATATAGAAGTAAAACCCAGAAAATGCGGACTCTGCATCTGCCTCTGCTGTTAGCAAAGGTAGGGGGGTGTGTGAGCGTGCTTGTGTGTAACACGTGTACCTGCACAGAGGTAGGCATTCCCGCTTGCAGGGAGGTGGAATGACTATGGCAGTAGCATTGCCCCTCCTCACTGTTTACACGGGTTCTACTTCCCTCTCTACACCTGCGAATCCCCACGTCCTGAAACATCACGTTGTAGGCAGTGCAGGGTGCCGAGTGCTTAGATGCATCATTTGGGTTACAGCAGGGACAAAAGAGAAGACAGGGCTCTTCCTCCCTGTCCTTCGCTCCCGTCTGTGTGTCCCTGCAGCGAGGTCCCACTGCAGCATCCCCTCCCTCCTGGCCTGTACCCTGTGTGCATGGGCAGGGGCTCCCAGGCAAGTGCTGCTGCCTCCTGGCAGGGTGTGCTGAGGGGTTTTCTCCTCCGTGGTCCTCCTGCTTCCCCGGTGCCGAGGGGAGGGGTATCTGAGCACCTCTGCTGCCACCTCTGTGAGAGCCATATTAATTAAACCAGGCTTGGTCCCGTTCAGGTGACTGCTGGCAGCAGCAGCCGGTGGCAGAAGGGAGGAGGGATGAAAGTCAGAGGGATGACTGTCACTGTAAGGTCTTAAACCCCCTGGCATGAATTGCCAGGGCTCATTTTGGAGGACCTGCAATCTCCTTTCAGTTTCCCAAGGGATTCCTTTGCAGTCAGAAATTGGGAATTTTTTGGGGGGGGATCTGCAGCAGATCTCAAAGCTAAGCAGACACTCATGGTTTAAAAACACTTCTTAGTGGAGAACATGCAGCTGTTTGCTTCACCTTAAATAATTTGCAACTTCTTTTAGGTCCAAATTTGTCCAGTTCAGAGCCAGAGAATTTTATCTTTGCCAGGTCACAGCCCCTGGCTATCAGAAATAGTCCCCCTTGGTTAATATTTACAGATTTTCACCAGTCACCTTTTGTTGGATAAGGTGAGTAGCCTGAGTATTCAGGTTGGGAAGCACAGTCCCTTCCCACCTCCTCCTCTGGTCTCCGGTGTCACCATTTATTTATAGTTCCCCATGTTAACAGATCAGGGATGAGTTACGCAGGTCTCTGACCTGGGGCCTCCAGGCACAAGCAGGCAGCGGGCTACTCTGGTAGCAGGGAGAGAACGTAATTAGAGAAACAATTAATAAGCACACAAGCTTTCCCTTCCTAATGAAAATTGGTTCTGATATAATGAACTGGCTATCAGCCACCCACTTTTATACCCTCCTTTAAAGAAAGTACCCATGGTATCACCTTCACTTTAGAAAAGATATTCAGGAACATGTTTTTAAAACACTGTAAGTCACTTAATCTCCTAGTTGCTGAAATCCCTTGGATAACTAGGCTCCCAAATCCCAGAAGGCCTGACTGAGTCTGCAGTGTGGTGAAAGCACATATGTAGCACAAGTTGGTCGCCTCACCCAAGCTCAGGGTAGCAGTAACGGTGAAATCAGTTACGGGATGTGCTCAAAAGAAGGTCACTTTCCTCCTTCCATCCCAGCCCTGCGATACTTTGGTGCCATACTCTGGGATGTGACCTGCAGGTACCTTGGGAATCATTTGCTCTCTCCCAGCCAGGGACACAATAGTTGCGCATATTTGCCCATTCTGTATGCGTAGGTGGGAGGACTTTGGAAAAGTGTTTTCTTTGGTTGTTTCATGTTAGCATGAAATGACCTCTCAGAAAAGGAGTGACTGGGTTTGGCTAGAGTGGGCAGGGAGCAGCAGGGCTGCTGCCCACGGCTGGGGGCCCATGGATTGCATTAGCCAGAGTAGCCCAGGAACCGGAGATTTTCAGCTAGTAAATGTCAATACAGCTTCATGCAAGAGTCTGTGCACAGGCGGGATTTTTTTGCTGTTTGACTCTTGCACGTGTTCTGATGAGTACTATTTAATTACCCAGCTTTTTTCTTGCTTTCCCTCAGGCACGCTGTGTGAGAAACATGAGGTCTCACTCCCACATGGCAGCATCCGCAATCACAAATCCTTGAAAACTTCAGGGACCCATGTAGCCGGATGCATGGAGAAACCTGACAGCTATGGAAGGCACAATTCCTGCACTTTTACAGGAGAACCAGGTGGCCCCAATCCTGATCTTCTATGCAAAGTACAGGCAGAAGATGAATGGGTTTCCTTCAAAATTTCCTAGAGATTGCCACTTAGCTGAGTCCTGGTGGTTATTCCCAGGCTGTGGCATGGTGATGCATGGAGGAGGAGGAAAGTTCCCCCTTACCAAAATTCTGTCTCCATTCCTTGTTTCACGTGCTCTCTCACGAAACCAGGGACTGCTGCACCACACCATGTCCCAGAAGATGACATGGCACCACAACCTCCCCCCAGGGACCCACGACCCTCTGTTAGGGAAACCTGCCTAGCCCATGGTGCCAGCAATGCCTGTGGGTTTGGGCACCTGGATGCACCCTCCGAAGCCTGACCTGTACCAGGAGGGGTGCAGACAGAGCTGCCTCTCCCCTCGCTCCCCAAACATAAAGGCTGCAACCTGCTTTGGGGGCAGCGTGCCATGGCACTGGCTGTGGGACAGGGAGCTCTCCCCCTATGAGTTTTACAGCTGGCTCTGTAGCAGCATCTTGCATTCATTTTTATACCTCAGTTACTGGAAATTTCCTTTTGGAGAGGGAGGGGAAAGCTTCATGGGAAGCAGGCAGTGAAAGGAGTTGTTTGTCCCAGCCTTCAGGCAAGGTCTGTTCTGTTTTCAGATGTAAATAGGCAGTTCCACCGGAAAAACACTTACTTTTCTTCCCAGTTATCTATGGACTGGTCAAAACCTCCACACTGGATTTGGTTCCAGGCCTTCCTTTGCTATTGTGCTAATATAGGCCATTACCGCTCCTCTCTGGACGTGTAAACAAGCAAAACCAGTGCTTTTTTGAGCAGCCATTCCCCCTCAAATCTCCTTCCCTAAAAAAGGACAGGGAAAATTTGTTGATAAGTTGTCAGTGTGTGAGGTGAGGGGACATGTCAGGCCCTGGGAGCCTGGGAAAGTGCAGACTCTGGTGGGTGCTGCCACGCTCTGCAGTGCCGTGCCGTCAGCCAGGGACACGGGTGTCCCCGCTCGGAGGCAGCTTGTCCCCCCGGAGCCCTTCGTGCAGATGGGGTCCTGTGAGCTTGACAGGAGCCAGGACAGGTTTATAATGGTCATCAGCTTTGCTCCTGGCACAGTGCTGAGCATGGGGCGAGTGGCAGAGACTCGGGAAGGAACAGGCGGCTCCATCTCTAGGGATCTCCCCCTCTGCAGGCTTTCGGGGCACCGTGAGACCTCAGCGTTGTTACACTGCGTCCCTCACATCATAAAGGGGCAGTGAGAGCCCCATACCCGGCCTCCCCTTCCTGACTGCATGTCTGCTTCAAAGGCCCAGCTCCTGTCACCCTTGCATTTTATAGCTGTCCGCTGCAGCTTCAGTGAGTCCTTTCCTGTGACGTGGGGGAGCTGGCGGAGCTGCAGCCTGGCTGGTGGGCGTGGGTCGGGCTGCAGGCCTGGGCAGACACCTGCCCTCTGAAGGATGCCAGCCCCCTTGGGCACACTGAGCCAGTCACCCTCCCCTCCTGCCTAATTTCCCATTTTTTTTTCAAGGGTGGGAAGGGATGACAGACCTGACTGCGACAGCAGGGTTGGAGTCAGCCTCTGCCAATGGGGATTTCAAGTAACTAGCCTTCCAGAGAAAATAAATAAAAACCCCTCTGACATTTTGACCACGATCGGGATAAAAATAATCCCACAGCACGCAGATGGCTCCTGCCATGTACATGTCACTGTCTGTGTACGTCTCTACCATTTGACATTTTGCTGTCAGAGGAGGGTATATTCTGCTTGCAAGCAGTGGCTGGGAGCCGTGGGGGGCGCTGGGCTTGCCACTGGTGACCCTGCAGATGAGGTGGCTGGGGACAAGCCCTGTGCCATCACAACTGCCGCTGTGCCTGTCCTTGCTGGGCAGGCAGGGGACGGCCAGCACCTTCTGCTCTGTGCAGAAAAGCACCCCTTTCAGTGAGGTTTCTTAGCAGCAAGTTTACCTCTGCCCTGTGTGCAGCATCCAGTTGCAGAGAGGGCAAATAAAGACTCGAATTTCTCCTTGAGATTTAGCGCTGGTGGCACACGTGAGGTTTTCCAGAGCTGGAGAATCCGGGGATGGTGCCTGGGGTGGATGTGTCGGGGGGGTGATGGGCAGAGGCTGCCTGGCATGGAGGCAGATGGTGTGGGAGGGATGTCCTCGGCCACCTGAAAGTCACCTGGGGAGAGCAGATGGTGTGTGGGGAGGCTCCTGGTGGCACCCCGGGCGGGGAGGCAGCTGCAGGGGGGATGCTGGGTTGCTCCCTGGAGCTATTTGGGGTGATCAGGTGGGGAAGGGGGGGCTGTGGGGAAGGGCAGTGAGGAATTTCCCTTGTTTGGGGGGGATTTCAACCCACTCTGCTGTGTGCTCTGACCTTCCCAAGTGACCCAGCCTCCTACCTTTATAGCCTTCACCCTAGGCTGGGGTTAAAGCGCTTGGATGGGATTTGTGTTGCTCCCTGCGGAGAGCTGGGAAGCAGGATCACACTCAGGATCCTTCTGCAGGATTATTTTGTGGCCTCAGGATGTGGGCAGGGACAGCACTGCTGTTGCCATCAGCCTGCCAGGGCCACCATGGAGCCGTGGAGCTCAGCACCCAGAAGCTCCCTGCACAAAGACCCTCTCCCACTCCCTCTGCACCCAAGGTTTCACCGGGATCCCCTTGGCACCAGAGTCTTGCTACCACCATGCTCACCAACCACGTGGCCATGCCCCAGGGGACATGGTCATCAAGGATTGACACACTGCTCCTGGTGGTTTGATTCTCTGGCTTTTTTTGGGAGCTGCTACCCATCCATCCATCCATCCATCCATCCATCCATCCATCCATCCATCCATCCATCCATCCATCCATCCATCCATCCATCCATCCATCCATCCATCACCTCTCTGGCTCTGCACTGGGCTGACGGGTTGTGTGATGAGCAATGATTTTTCACCCGTGTCCTTCACACTGCTCAGGGCCGGGGTTTGGCTGGCCACTTTGAAGTGCTGTGTGTGGCAGAGCTTCGCCAGCCACCCCTGTCATTTGAGCTGCCGTCACCAAGGGTCACCTTCAGTGCTTGATGATGAAGGTGGTGGAAAATAGACGCTCCTTAATTATGCTGCAAGGTCTGAGGAAGGACCTGACTTTTGCTGAGGTGCCACTTGTGCCTCCTTGGTTTACTTAGTGGCTTTGCCAAGGATGTGTGACAGTGAATGGAGGGCTTGATGGTGAAAAAACAGGTAATACTGAGGATTTGGGATGTGCTGAGCTCTGTCGAATAGCAAGTGTGTATAAGGAGAATCAATCCCTAAAACCACACGACCTCAGAGAGGGCAAGGCACTTGCTGATTGCAAAATGATATAGTAAGTTGTGTTTTACTCCCTTTCCACCCCCCTCCCAAGAGGAGCCTGTCAATGCTGGGAAACTTGTACGTTGATCCCAATATTAACCGGAATAACTTGCACCCGCCTCCGAGGATTTCCTCTCCAGCCTTGGGCTCTGCCAGCACCCAGCTGGGGAGCAGTGCCCAACCCACGGGTGGGGATGCGTGCCTGCGTGGGATCCGCCGCACAACAAAAGCCACCACAGGTAATTGCCCCATGGGGAAACAGCCCTGCACATCACTGAAGGTTTGATTTTAAGGCTTAAGCGTCTGCCTTTACCTCAGCACCCCACGGTCCGTGTGGGAAGGAGGAGGAGGCACCGGCATGTGCTGAGGTCTCTTGCTCTGCACCAAGGGCTGGGCTGGGACCCCCCCAGTTTCCCCCCGTGGCCCTGGGGACAACCCAGGCTGGGAAGAGTACACACCTGGTGCCACCTAGTGGCACTGGGACAAGGACAGGACCGTGGGGTTTTTATATTTATTATTTGTATTATTACCATTATGGGGTATTGCAGGGGTATATGCCTGCATGGCATATCAGCTGCGTGGGCTGTGAGTGGCCCCTTACCGGGGTGTCAGTCTTGCGGGAAAACAAAAGGTTGGGAATTCTGGTGTAAAGTAGGATGCACAGAGCATGTAGATATTTCTGCCAGCCAAATAACTAGCAGTTTTGTGGGAAGATTGCAAAAGAAAGCAATGAGCAAAATTGTCAGGATGTGTCCTGTGCTTTATAAAACCAGCTGGAACTTGTGAGTGCACAGAGAGGTTGAGAGACAGCGCTGCAGAGCCGTGGCCCAAGGAACAGATTTCTTCCCTCTCTGCAGCAGTTGGGGTTCCTGCTGCAGTGAAGGGCTTTAGGATAAGGTTTTAGTTTTCTTAATCTGACCTAAGGCCATATTAGCACAAGAAGATGGGTTCTTGCTCTCACCCTCAGGTGCCTCCCCACCCCCTCCATCGCGTTGGCTCGAGGGGTCAGCTCCACTTTTGTGACAGCAAATTAAGAGCCAAAATAAATAGTTCTGCACGGGTTTGCCTCTCCTCTTTCCTTCTCAAGGACTCTGGGGCCATTACCTCTCTCTGAGCTCCAGCTGCCAGCTCCACACCTGCTAACTCTCCCATCTCCTACTGCTACCCCAAACCTTGCGGTTTTCAGCCCATTCCCAGCCGCCTTCCCCGAGCTGTCCCCTTGCCCACGCCGGATGGAGCCGTTCCCTCACTGACAGTTTGCCTACAGCATCCTGGAGAGCACGGGGCTGCGGCGCTGCCTGTCCTGCCTGTCCTGCCTGTCCTGCCTGCCCTGCCTGCCCTGCCTGCCCTGGCCCACGTAGCCCATGCAGGGGCCACCCCGTATTGCCCAGGCGGGCTGTTCTAAAAGGGGTGTCAGTCTGCCAGTGGTTAAAATAAATGGGCGAGTTAAAACAGCTGCTGGGAAACCCCCTGTGTTTCAGGGCTGGGACAAAGTATTTGCAAGGACTTTTGCAAGACCAGACTGTCTGGGGTGGTTTGTTATATCACGTATCTTTGCAGGGTTTTGGAAAAAATGTAAAGCAAATCTTGGTTCACAGAGGAGTATCAGACTTTTTTCCTTCACTGGACTATATCCTCCAAACTTCTGCACACTGATCTTTTGTGCCTAAGAAAACGGGCTTGCGCTGTGCTGAATTATGTCATTTTATTCCCCTCTAGACTGCCCAGTGCTGAGAAAGATCTGAATCTCCATTCCCAGGCACCAGCTGTGGCTCCTGCTGATGCTGCCAGGTGGTCCATGGCCCATTTCACTCATGTCTGCTGAGGTCTCATCCAGCACGAACCAAACTTGTGAGGGAGAGCTGGGTCTGGCAAGGGAAAGGATGAGCCCACACTGAGGAGTTGCAGCTCAGAAAGGAGCTGAGGTAGTTGCTCAACACGAGCTCTGCATTAAAAGCCCTGAGGAAGGGGGAGAGCACTTCTGTGTACAGGCTAAAGTCTCTGCTCTGCTGTGCCTAGGGTGAAGCACCCATGTAAAAATCAGTGGAGAAAGCTTCAGCATTGCACAAGAGTGCATTTTGCAATCCTGCCACATATGTCAGTGGCCTTGCTGTTGTTACATGGGTGACAACATACCAGGAGTGGCCTGGTGTGGGTGGCAGCACCCGACTGTGCCTGCAGCTCCGGGCTGTGGTCGCCAAGGGCACCCTTGTCCCCCCCAGGTCTGAGCTGCTCGTGAGCCTCACGGGTCTTGGGGAAGCCAGGGGCTGGTTTGGGGCTGGTCTGTCAGTGGAGCGGGGAGGCTGGGGGCTGCTGCCTGTCCCTGGTGCTGCTGTGGAGGGGCAGCGGTGATGGTCCCTGGGCACGGGGCTAAAGTGCTTGTCTGCAGCTTGGCCCTGGGTGGGTTAGGGGATGGGAAAGCACCAACCCCTCTCCTCTGTCCTGTGACCTGCTTGTCTTGAGAGATGAGTCAGGCAAGTGCTGCCAGGGAAGCTGGACATCTCCTGACCTCCCTGACAGTTTGTACCCGCCGAGTGCATTGGTGATGCAGACCCCGCGGTGGGGCTGACTCGGCCAATAACCCACGTGGTGACGGCCTCAGGGACCTTACTGTAACCATGTCTTATGACCCTTTCATGCTGAACCACCTTTGGAAGGTTGTCCAGGTGCCTGGGATGTGGCCCCAGGTTGGCTGCCAGGACACATGGGTGATGGGCTCCACCAGTTCTCCTTTGGAGCAGCAGAGCCAAGGGAATTGCAAAGACAGACCTCCCTTGCCGAGGCACGACCCTGGGCTGGGGGTGCTGCAAGCTCCCCTTCCCTGTAATTAATTTCAGCTGTTAATAAAGTCTGTTTTAACCCCCGCTCTCCGCTGTCTGCTCTCAGGACAGACCCCGGACACAGTCCTGCGTGTGGTTACCTGGTCCCCCAAAAGCAGGGAGGTCTGATTGCCCCAGCCTGAAGCCAAGCTGCGCTCGTCCCGCCGCGGACGCGTTTTCTTTCCTGGTGAGGGCCCCCCCTGTGAAAGGGGGGACCCGCCACTAGGTGGGGGTAAAACCTGCGGGAACACCCGGAGCCGCACGCTGCGCCGGGGCACGGCCCACGCGTGGGGCCGGCGGTGCTGCGGGGAGCGGCCGGGCTCGGGCTGCGTTCCCCGGGAGCTGTGCCCCGTGGAGGGCGGCGTGGGAGGGATGCCCGTCACGCCGCGGGGATGCGGGGGGCTGCCGTGACCTGCCCTTCGCTGGTGGGGGCAAGCGGGGGCCGCAGCGTCCTGCCCCGCTGCGCTCCCCCAGGCACCCCCCTGCGTGTTGGGGACAGCAGGCACGGTCGGTGGTGTGAGACGTGGAGGGTTTCTCCTTCCAAACACGTGCCCAGTGCCAGGCCGACTCTTGCCCCGTCGCTAACCGGTATATGGTATTCTTGAGCCCAGTCTCACCATCTTTCAGCTTAAAAACACAGGACAGCGGAGCTGGACTCACTCACAGAGACAAACCTGCCTCTCGTCTGGAGCACTGCAAGACCAATACTTACTTGTGTCCTGCTCAAAAACCCAGTGCAGGCCCTGGAGTGGGCTCCCCGGTGCCCCAGCCCTCGGGGGGATGCAGAGCTCCTTGCCAGCTGGCTCACCCCCCTCTCTCCTGCCAGGGTAATGCAAAGCGGGGCTGAGCACCAGGAGCAGCTCCGTGCCACA